TTTGGTAAACTAACTATACTATTCTAATGAAGTCATTCCTGTATGTGACATATGCTAAAAAACAAATACCAGCACATAAAAGTTAGTTACAAGAAGGCCACAGTAGCAAAATTTACTTTTTACTAGAAATACTTTTGGCAAATTGAGAAGGAAACAGAAATTTGAGCAAAATGTAGTTTTGCACAGAGCTTCTGCTATGCCTGAGATATACATTTCTCTGCAGATCAGAGCCTTTGCTATTACACTTATCTTAGTTTCATTAGATGGACTTTTAATTCATAGTTTTCTTCATTAAAAATTTAATTACTGAATATAAAAAACATAATAGAGAAGGGTCTCCTTAATGCAGTCCCAAAGCCTGAAAATATAAGTTTATTCTTAGCTAGAATATTCAAACTACATATACTGCATATACAAATCTACTACATGTAATATGTAGTATTTAGATATACAAGTGTGTGTACACACACACACACACACACGCATGCACACACATGCACGCACATATACATGTCTCAAACTGGCCAATCACAATGCATTACCTCAGTAAGAAAATGGCACATGCTGTCATATGCTAAGGTCATTCTATTTGTATAACAATTGAAACATAAAATGTTAAAAACTTTATCTTAATTATGTTTTTAAATACCCAAGCTATTAATATCAATTTTTGCATTTCCTGTTATTCTAAAGATAGATAACTTGATGTGACTTTTTTTTTTTTTTTGGTGAACAGCTGAAAAGGAAATACTTGAAAGAAAAATTCAAACAAAGTTTAACTTTTTAAAAGAGCCAAGTAACAAAATCCTTAAAATAAAAATGTTTAATGAAAGCTAGATGACTCACCTGTACTTATTTAGAAGGCATAATTCATACTAATTTCTTCAGACAAGGTTTCAAAGGGAGACAGTTTACAACCTGTGAGAGTTTCAGTTCCTATTATATTTTGCAATAGTTGTTTTTTATGTTGCTAATACAGTGCAATTTAAATGACTATTTTACTTGACTGACAAAAGCAATTGTAAGAAGCAATTTAACAAAATCATGTGGAAAGATAAAATAATATTAATTGATAGTTAAATCACAAATTGTTCTTACAATAACAACTACTTGGTTGCACATTAAGCTAATTTACAAATGCTACGTATATTCTAAAACAAAACATCAAATGAGACACAATAAAGCATATTATGTTTTCGTATGCTGGTGAATCACACATAGTATACCACCAAAGACAAGCGTGATTTATGTTCAAATTCTGCCAAGACATTAGTCGATATAGGGTGTCACATCTCAGGGGGATGGGAGATGTAGTGAGGCAAAAAGAGGTGGCTAATATTTGTCTCAGTAATTGACATGGAACTTGAGCAAAATTTAATAGAATAATCCCCCCCCCAAAAAAGCAGATTTTGACTAAAAAATGAAGATTTAAAAATTATGTGTCAAATGTGAAAAACAGAAATTTCTGGGGAGAAAAAGCCTTTCATGTAGTTTATTTTATAAAATATTTGAAGCTTCACAAAATAAAACATCATATGTGCAAAATCAAATTTCTTACATCAGAACATTAAATGTGGAGTTCAGAAAGTAAAGGGTCATCTGAACCATGTTCGCTTTTTACAAAAATAACTACAATATCGCAAACTAACTCCCAGAAAAACAACAGGTTTGATTGAAAGAGATTATCCAAGTAACTCAACAACTTATATAATGCAATATAATTTGATTGAACAAGGTAAATCCTAGGTTAAAATATTCTTATATTTTATTCATATACTAGTTATTAAAGTGTAATTTACTAATACTTTTAAAGCATACAGAAATCAGTTGTGGAACCAAGCAAACTTTCATATTTAAGCGTTACTCTTCTAATTATGCCCTATTCTTTTTGAAATGATATAAAATGAGACATTAAGCTTTATTGGAAGCATTAATTTACTGTAATACAAGCAAAGTGTCTCTTCATTTGAAGCAATTCTTTAATTTCTCTGTGCCAACTATTGTAATTATCTGTTAGAAGCGAATCTATATTTGTGTTAAACTTTCTATATCAATGCATAAGTCTGTGCTATTGAAAAGCAGACAACAGGACAAATGTTAAATAAATACAGGCTGGTTCGGTTTGCCACCTTTATTAAAACTCCTAACCCCCACCCCAAAAAAAGAGAGTCAGGAATTAGAAAATATTTTGTGCTTCTTATACTAGAATTTCTTTCATATATTACTACCGAAACATAAAAGTCTTTTACTATTTTGTCCATGAGTGGTATTTTAAAACAAAAGAATTCTGTTTGTGCATATATGTATGTGCCTATAAAATATATGATTAGACTAGCTGGAATCCGTTTAAGTTAAAAACCCCTTAGATCTAGGGTTACTTAGAACCTACATCACAATATTGTTGGAAAGATCCTGAGACAAAATTATCTTCTGACAATAATGAAATAAATGAATATTTTAGATGACATAATAAAACAGTCACTTTTGTAAAACCCTGAATTCATGGAAAATTGAATCTAACCCAAATCTACAAAAAAAAAGAATTGACTCATACAAACAGAGATTTGACCATGTACATAATTACTTTTCTTTTTTTGTTGTTATTTAATGGTAAGCAATTAATTAACTGACCTCTGTTGCAACAGCCAAGTTCATGCAACTAACGTTTAGTTTTAAAATAATAATTGGTGGAAGCTGATCAAGGACAGACTTTGCCCTCTGACAACTTTTAGATATATTTCCTTACATTGCTTTCATGTTGTGAGACCTTTATTTTTTAGCTTTACTGTCTGGCAGGTGATAGTCTCTTTTTCATCTCCTTGTGGTAATGACAGATGGCTTCAACATTTATTCTAGTTTTCATAGATAGAATACTAATGCAATAGCCCCAAGCAAATTAAATCCACTCTAAGGTTTGCTACCAACTTACTGAGCCACTTTGAGCAAGTTTATGAATCCTACTGTTCTGTAGCATCATTTTGGTTCCTCAAAATCCCTGGTATTATTATTCCATTCTATTAAGGGATAGATATATGTTCTGTAAAAAGCTAAGAGTGCTAAAATTTGATGTTTCTCATTTTATATATATTATAATGTGTGCATATATAAATTACATACACACATATATATGTGTATATAGTAATTTTATATAGTTTACATTCTTGCTCAGTTTCTCTTATACTTTACATAAATTATTCCCTTAGCCTATTAAGTAGCTAGAGGAGAAAGAAACCCAAGTGAAAGAAATCAGTACATCTAGGTGAATAAAAAAGGTTCTTCATAGCAAAGATATAAACTGGACTTGAATGAAAAAAGTAATCATAGTTTTACAAATACAAGATGCAAAACATTTCAAAGCTTTGAAAGGTAAGAAATAAGACAATAATGCTTATAATTATCATTAAAGACAGTAATATAAAGTAAACAGTATATTTGGTGAGAGGGAAGTTCCATTATAAGTTCTCAATTTCTTCAATCAGTGGCAGAGTTAGGAAAACCAAGGTAGGTATTTGCAACTAAATACATTCTCAAGTTAATGACTACAGCATTTGCATGTATTTAAGTTTGGGTAAGCTTTTTAGTTGATATATAATCAAATTCAATATTAAATGAACAAACTTCTCATATTTAACTTAAAAATAACTTAAAATAGGGTTTTAGAGCAACGCATGCAATTGCAAATTATTAAGGCCAGGTGATTGAAACATAATTACAGTAGTGATGAGATATTTGTGAAGAGATCAACAGTTCCACTGGATTTAACTCATCTTGGCTCTGCAAGTTTAAACTCCAGATCTGTTGTTAACCTCAGGGGGAAAAAACTTGAAAAAAATTTTAGTTAATAACTTTAAGAATATTCTCCAACCATATGGTGAGGACTTCAAATCTAGGCAGAAGTTCAGGTAAAAAATCAAGTTTAACATTAATTATAACATTTATTATAAAGCAGTCATTGAAGGAAGTTTTATCCAGCAATTGTGTGTATCTGTGTGTATGTGAAATGGCCTTTAATTACCTAGTGTCTAGTGTGCTGTAAGAAACACAGTAAGAGGATTCCGAGGAGAGTAGATGTTTGATTACTAAAGAATAAAAATAGGTAGCGATTCACCAATTTACTGGATAGGCAGATAATTTTTTAACAATAATATCTAAACTAGCTTCAAATTTCACCCAGCTTTTTTCATAACTCCGGATCAATTTTTCTGCCCTGATTCTAATCGTTTTAACATAGATTTTGGGCAAATATTTATATTCTGCATGACCAAGAACTCCAATGATCTGAGTAAGTGGCGTTTAGTGATCTTGGTTCCACAAGCCCCACCCCCCCCAATCTTTACTGCCACCTGTCCATACATTTGAGCGCGAGTGCACACACGCACACACACACACACACACACACACACACATACACAGCATTTACCCCAAAAGAGTCGAAGGTTCAAAGCCCAAACACACCCATGTCCCATGGAATGAAGGGTACCTAAACACGGAAAAGAATTTCTGGCTAGGTCAGGATAGGACAATTGCTGGACTGGAATTCGAATCTTTTTCGTTTCACAGTCTTCCCGGGCGCTAAGCTAGGAGTCTTCCTCCGTGGAAAAAACTAGCGCTTTTTCATCCCAATGTCCTTCTGGTCTCCTTGTTACACTTCCTTCCTTCCCACCTCAGTTTCCCTGGCTCTGCGGGGGCACACACCAACTCCGCTCCTCCTCTCAACCTTCAAACTTATTTAGAGGGTACCGAAGTTTCCGCGCAAATTTTGCGCGCAGTTCCCACGTGCCTGCTTCAAGTCTTCAACTTTCCCTATTCTCTTTCTCCCGGCATCTGTCTGAACTTTTGCGTCTGCGCTTCCAGGCAGCGAACCGTAGGGACAAAGCGGAGCTGTGAAAGGGGGTGGAATGATCGTCTCTACCCCGAAACTGACAGGTTGCCCCACTCCCGCCCCCTCCCGGTAGATCTTCCCCCACTGAGCCTTCATTAGCATAAAACTGGTCTGGCTGGGGACCCGTCCCGCCGCCGTCTCCGTGCGCGCGCTTTGCTGGGCTGGGGAAGCCAAGGCACAGAGTAGCAGGCCCGCTGAGCATCTCAGTGTAAGTGTGCACCTGATCGCTGCGTAAGCTACTACCCTTTAAGAAAAGAAAAGAGAGAGAAATATAGAAAGAAAACACTTTGGAGAGAAAGAGACAGAGATCGAGAGACAGCGCGCTTCCGTCGCTTTCCTTCCCAATCTCTCCAGTTCAGCTTCCATTGAGTCTCGGGCACTCGGTCACCTCCCCCTACCGAGGAAAACCTGCTGGTGCCCTCGCATCTGCCCCGGGGCCACCGAATCCCCTTATTTCCTTTGCACACTCGCTCACACGCAGACACAGGCACACATGCGCGAACACACAGACCCCTCCCCTCGGCGGGCTTCCCCTCCAGACTTCGTAGCTCAACTCCCCGGAGCTCAACCCCCCGGGAAGGTCCGGATCTCTCAGCCTCGCCGGTCGTTTCCCTCCCGACCTCAAAGTGCCCTCCTCTGCTGCAGGCGGGCTCCCTCGCCTTTCCCAGCGGGCCCCTCACCCGGAGCACGTCTCCCCGCTCCCCAAGCCCTGCGGGGCAGGTCACGACCTCTCCCCGCCCCCAGGACGCCGCTCGGCGCCACCGACCAGCCCCATCGGTGCCGGGAGGCTGGCGAAGGAGCCCAGGCCATGGGGAGCGCACGAAAGCCGGCCGTAGCTCCGAGAGGTGTCCCCAGGCACCCGCGCGCCCGGGGCAGGGGGCTGTGGCTGCAGGAAAGGCGCCGTCTTTCTCCCTCTAGTCCCCTCCGCCCTGAGGCTAAGAGTTCCCGCGTCCCACTACAGCTCATCCCCGGGACGCAGCGGGCAAGGGGGCGGACCGGGCCCAAGACCGAGGTCTGGGTAGGGTGAGGTGCCAACTTCTCAGGGGGTTGGGCGCGGCGGGTGAGCCCCGAGCAGGGAGAGGAGAGGGCCGCGCTCGCATGGGCACGCGACTCGCGGGCGCGCGGAGCGAGCGGCGCCGGGAAGGGAGCGAGGGTATGGCGAGCAGGCGGGTGGGAAGGGGCTCGGGTGGCGGAGGCTACCCCCCGCTACTCACCTTGCGTTGGTGCAGTCATTGTAGAGGGTCTCGAAGTCCTTCCTGGAGATGAGTTTGCAGCGGTTCACTCCGGGCTGGATGGCGCCCAGTCCCCTCAGGATGCGAACCTGTTCCACATTGCACACCACCGGCGTGATCTCCAGCCGCTTCAGCTTGGTGTAGACTGTGTGCAAGCCCCCCACCAAGTGCTTCAGGAACAGGTCGAAAGCCTGGGGCAGGCAGATCAGCTCGCAGCCCTCCACCGTGAAGGAAGCCACTTTGGCCCCCCTCAGATCCACCATTTTGCACTCATTATTCTGGGGGGTGTTTTCCACTGGGGACGGGGTTGAGTACACGGGTTTCCCGGGGAGGGGGCCGCAGCTGCTGCTGCTGCTGCTGCTGCTGCTGCTGCTACTGCTACTGCTGCTGCTGCTGCTACTGCTGCTGCTGCTGCTGCTGCCGGTGCTCGCGTTGATGGGGGTGCTGGAGGCGACGCCGCCGCTAGCGCTGATGCTGCCGCCGCCGCCGCCGCTGGTGTTGCTCGCGGCCGCCAGGCTGGGGTTGCAGTTGCTGCCACCGCCGCCTCCATTGCCGCCGCTGCCGCCGCCGCCTCCACTGCCTCCGCCGCCGCCACCGCCGGTAGAAGTGACTGTGGCCGCCGCTGCCGCCGAAGCGATGGGCTCCGGGCGGAACAGAGTTGGCCCAGAGGACGCCGGGGGTCCGATGGAAGGAGCCGGAGACGAAGTCGCCGAAGAGGTGGAGGTGGTGGTGCCAGAGGAGGAAGCAGACGTGGAGATTGGGGGTTGAGGGGGGACCAGCTGGGTCGGAGGGATCAAAGCCGCCGGCACTGCCATGGTCACATATAAGGGGAAGCAGACGGAGGAGAAGCGAGGGGAAAAGTTGCCACACACCCCGGGAGGGGAAGGGGAAAAAAGGGGGGAGAAGGAGCGAGGGGGGCAACAACAACAACTCCAGGAGAGAGCGAGAAGGAGAAAGGGAGAGAAGGGGGAGAAAAGGAGGTGAAGGTGATAAAGAGCGAGCGCAGGAGGGGCGAGCACGAGAGGCGCTCTGGAGAGAAACGCACAAAAGTGTCCCGCAAGTCGAAATGCGAGTCCTCTCCGGGGGCTGGGATGGAGGGCTGGTTTGGGGGGGTGGGGGCGGGGGCGGGGAGGGTCGGCTGTTGTTGTGTGGGTCCCGCTCTAGCACAAAGTTAAGGATGAAGGTGAAAAGGAGGAGGTTTGAAGGACTTGGGCTCTCCCTGGCAAGTACATTGATCAAAGATTGAGAGGCGAATGACAGAGAGAAAATGAGCTGAAAAGTGCAGGCTGCCGGCTGGACGAGTTGTTGTTGTCACACGGTGCAGAGGGGAGGAGCTCCGGAAACTTGAAATACCCTTTGAAGCCGCAAAAACCTCACTCACTAGTATTAACCCAAATTATCCAACCAGGAACTCGGAGCAGAGACTCCGAGAGCGCGAGACACTGGAGAGGGAGCGTGCGAGGAAAGGAGGAGGGGAGGGGGAGGATAAAGAAAGAAACTGTGGGAGGAACGGAGAGGAAAAGCCGGGGACGCAGAAGTGGCGATCGGAAAAGGAGAGGGAGATCTTCCACTTCTCTTCTATACTACCGTTAGATTGCATGTCTCACATTGCATTTCGTCCGCGGCGACTGGTAATTTTTTCCAAAGCTTCTAAACAATCGCCTGCCAACTTAAAGACGAGCCAGAGCGCCCCGAGCTTGCTCCTTCAAGGATTTAGGATCCATCTCCAGGCGTTTTGGTAATGAGATAGAAAGGAAAACAGCCCCCACTTCATGATTATTCAGAAACTATTTTGAGGAAAATTCACATGTAAGCAAAGCGTAATATTCTTTTGCATCTGATTGTTTTATTTCTCTACTAAATCATTTATTTATATAAAGGTAGTGAAAATTCCAGGGCAATTTTCAAGTGGTGGGAAGTCAGTCAGAAATCGCTTAAGAATAATGGAAAGCTGTATTCAATTCCCTATTTCTTAATATGCTGTGGAAAGAAATGCTTGTCCTGATGTGCATGATTTAGAATAACTTCACTGTCGCCCCAAAAGCAAGTCAGAAATACCGCTTATACTTAGAGAGATCAAGGAGATAAGGCATCCTTGAAGATTTAGAAAGTGGAAAAAGGCTTTTCTTACTCAAAACTCTATAATTAATTCACCTGTCTTACACAGTAACCAACTATCCTCATTGTCCTTTAAGACCCAAGGCCAGTGGTTAATGTGTTTTTTGGACAACACAATAGTTTTGTTTTTTGTTTTTTTTTTCCATGTTTGAAAAGTGCTGCTGTAGTTTTGCAAAGTCCTTTCCAATTTGTCAATAATAGATGTTTTGTAAATAATGAGAACAAAAACAGCTCACTAGTTGACTTGTAAAGACTTCGGTAGCTGTGCTTAAAAAAACGTGAGGCTGAGTTTAGACTGACTCTTCCTCCTTTCCTTTTCTTCTGTTTTCTAACTTGTTGCATCGAGCTATTTATTCAAGGATTTTTGACTCACATATGATTTGAACATAGGTCAAATCTATTTGCTGCTCATATCTTCAAGTATCTTCACTTACTTAGGCTTGGAACTGGTCTACGCATGTTCAGTAAGTTCTTAAGATGTGAAGCAATGCTTTAGCATTTGACGGATTTTTAAAATAAACTATTAGTAGCAGGTTCAGAATGTTGGGAAATTTTAAAACAAAATTTTCGCCATTCTGGTGTTGAAATGATCACATTTCTCTTTACCATTTTAATCCTTTGAACTCTGACTTGTAGTGTCAAAAAGTGCAGGAACTGTTTACCAAGAAATAGAAATATGACACTATGGACTAATTAGTGTACAATTATGCTAAACATTTTGGGACATAGCAGTTAAATCAGGAGGCTTTCCTGGGAGATAAAACTTCAGAAAGTCGATTGTTGCAGAAAAGTCCATAAACTTCTTCAAGGACTGCTGAAGTTTACACAATTGTTTGGCCTGGTTAATCAATGTATTTTAATATATTCAGAAATAATTTTATTAATATTTTAGTTTTCAAATTTATCAGGTAAAAGTAGGAATTCAATATATGTCACGAACACCAAAACACTTCTGTAAGTTTTTTGCTTGTTTTAAAATATATTACTTTATTAAGACATGCCAAATTACTATGTTAATGAGGGGAAGGGAGGAAGAAAGTATTAAGCCCTGAAAAGCTCATTTTATTTTGGAATTTCACGCCCAACTTTAATAAATTTCAATATGGTTTTAAAAGACTAAACTATTAGTTTCACTATGGAAAAATGGGCATCTACCATTACCATTCTCATTTTTTTTACATTTCCTTAAACTATCACTCACCCAATACCTGCCACATTCAGAAGCCACAGACAGGAGGCAATGATAGCAGACCAAGCCATAATCCCATCTTGCTTCGAAGCAAACTCCAAATTTTCTACTACAAGGAAACCTTTGCCTCTAAGCACGTGCTCCACTCAGATACAGGGCTTAGAGACATTTGCCCCTACCTGAATGAGAGCTCTCCAGCCTTCCTTCCCCTGACCTCAGGTCTCAAAATCAGTTCCAGGAACCACCACTTACTCCTTTGATCAAACAATAGGATTAGAAAAGGCATATAGCACAAATTAAAATACGTAGGAAAGAAAAGCCTTAAAAAATTCGAAGGTTTTTATCTCTTTTCTTTCTTTCTTTCTTTCTTTTCTTTTTTTTTTTTTTTTTTTTTTTTTGAGAAATGTTGCCAATGAGTAAGGCAAACAGTTATTTCACAGCAGCAGATAAATCAACTTAGAGATTCCCAATTCTCACTCCATTGCATCTTTAGGTTTCAGAGCTTTTGTCTGGCTTGTTTATTGTTTTACGTCTCCGCTTGTTTCAGGTCCTCTCCCTCCATCTCGTCTTCCCCAACCTTCACTCAATTTGCATAAGCAAAACTCAAAGTACTGTAACTGATATTAGAAAATTCTCCCTGTGTTTTGTGAAGACGTATTGTGCTGAAATCAATAAGACTGTTTAAAATTCAAAGACCTGCAAATCGTTCTGTTTGTCCTTTGATAGGGCCTGTGCTGATTAAAATGCTACCAAGAAAGCTTAATTGCTGCACTAATTAAGAAGTCTTTAATTTCTTTCCTAGGATATCGTTTGAAGCTTAGCTTGTACCAGTTCAGGGAAGGTATTTTCTTCCCTCCCTCTGCCCCCCTTCTGGCCCCTCCCCTCCCTTTCCCCCCATCCTCCCTCCCCGCCCCCCCCCATAACGATGTCCCTACGAATGGGAACTAACAGAGAGAGTGGTCTCAGGTCTCATCTATTACTTAACAAAAATCGGCACAGGATACAGAGTTCAGTACAGTATGAAATGCAGTTTTGAGAAGAGCTGTAAGATTGTAAGACACAGTAAGAAAATACAAAGTAGCTGTTGTAGCTAAAGTCCCGCTGAATACCTGGATGACAACAGGCACGTTAGCAGCCCGGTGATAAGGGCATCCTATTTGGTTAAAAGGGGCAGTAACAGGGAAGTGAAACAGGGACACATAAAAACATACTTTCAAAACCTGTGGTTTAAAAAGAAGAATAAATCTGTAGAAAGATGGACTTAGAGTTGGGATTTGGTAAGTATCATTTTATTTTATGAGTATGGAAACATGAATTCAGTGGGGATTTATTTTTGACCCTTCTTATAACCCAGGAAAGCATAGCACTGTATTACATCCATTCCATTCTTAACTATTGACCTATTTTATTCACTGATTTCTCAAGTGGGGAAACTGACTAAATGATTTCACAAAGCTTTCTCTGTAATCAATAGTCATTTTTTAGGTTTATTCATGCTGCATTATAATTCTGGTAAATGACTGCAAAGCAGAAGATTGTAAGAAAGATACAAATATTGACAAAGCCAGCATAAGTCATGTCTTTAAACCTTAAGAGTTTCAATATAATAATTGATATCATTATTTGAAAAGAAGAAAGGCATATTTCATAGCATATAAAAACTAAAATGATGGACTAACTTAAAGGCAATATATATCTGAATGTATTTCTTGAATATCTCGAATTTTCCTAAAAGCTTTGAGTATCCTCTTTATAGCATCACTAAGTGAAACGGACACAATTTGGGCATATGCAGAAATGACAAGAAGAGAAGATTCATTGCAATTTTATTATTTTAATTTTTTTTCCAAGTTCTCTTAGAAACATGCACAAAAACATACAGATGTATATTCCAGATATAGACTGAATCCCTTTCAGTGACAGGACAAGGAGATAAAATGCTTAATAGATTCAAAGGGAAATTTGCCATTCTGAGCACGACGTCACTCTAATTATGTTTACTCTAATTGAAAGCAAGGTTTTTTGGAATCTGAAATTACTTTCAGATTTTTTTTTTAAATAATGCAAGTAGATCAAATGTTGATCACAAGCATTTCAATCTTTCAAAATGTATTGGAAAATTAAATGAAAAGTGGAGTTTGGTACAAACAATGCCCCAGGGCAAAAAACAACTAACACTAGATTTTCCAGTCCAGCCATAACACAAATCAATTTGAGCACACTTCTATGGCCAGACTGCCAGATTGTTATGACTGCTAATTCACTCAATCAAAGAGTGCATTAGCACACCCGGCACAAATAGCTTTAACAATAGAGTGCATTTCTCAACAATTCCAAGATATATCACGATGGAGAAGTAAAGAGGAAGATCATTTTTACATCTACATATTTACTAATGGACCTTGTTTCCTTAAGAGAAAAAGAAAAAAGATCAACTTCAAGCATACGTTTATTAAAGAGCTATCAAAGTTTGGCAAATCTAGAAAGATATCAGGGTACCAGTAGTTCATGGACTTTGTTAAACGTTTCTCAGGAGAGAATCCAAAATTGATGTTTGCACTTCAGTAGTAAATCATTGAAGATGGGGAAATTATGCCAAGTAACTCTCTCAAGCCTTTTTAACTCAGACGCACAGCCTCCTCAATCAGCTCAGCAGATAAACCTCAACTACCTTAAGCAAAGACTTCCTTGCTTTTACACTTTCAGTCTCTGTTTCCCCACTTTTCCTTCCAACTTCTGACTTTTGGTGGGTCTCACTTCCATACCCTCCCTCAGTTTTCCACTGCCCTCCCTCTCCTCAAGAACAACAAATAAGATCTAAGGATGCGTTCTCTAATCAAGCACAGATTGCTTGGTGGTGAATTACCCAAAGGGCAAAAGGTGAGGAGCTGAAAATGAACAGATCATAACTTGATGCACTCAACTTTATATTGCCAACTTTTATTCTTAATAAAGAAGTGGTTAAAATTGCTATAAATAGCTCTGCTCTTCTGGAAATGCATGCACTGTGTATATATGTTTTCTGAATCCATAGTAGTCATCTATTCACATTCACCTTTGCATGGTTCCCATAGACAAATGGTGCAGTTTGGCACCACTGTTAGTCCCTCCCTAATCCATCTTCATCCCTCTTCTCCTGGTTCAGAATGAAGGTGGCAGGTGGCAAAAAATACTTCACTGGTCATGGGGTATATTCTGAGAAAATTCTAAACTTAAAGTCATATTGAAGAGAGAGGGTAGTGGCAAGAAGAATGATTACACACATAAAAAAAAATCATCCTGGAATTGTTTCCCTCGCTTCAAACTGCATCATTTCTATGACACTTGGTCAACTTTCCCTGATAATGTAGTTATACTTTCCTATCACTCCTTACTTTCAGTTAAGTGTCCTTAATTTCATCCGTAAGTTGGTATTAAGGGCTGCCCAGCCTAATATTCGATTAAAAAAAATAAACACATTGAGATCATTGTAGAGTCAGATTGTAAAAGGAAGCAGCAACAAGAGTAACATAAATTGACATTAATTCCCTTCTCTTAAATCAGATCACTATGAGAGGAATGGCACACTCGATTGAAATGAGGTCAAAAAAGTCAGACAGATATTTAAATCCCTAGTTTTGTAATAAATATTGTACCTGTAACTGTGCATTTTAATATATGACATTTTCTAATTGGCATCTTGTTTTCTCTTTAAATAACCCAACCCTCACCTTCCTCTAAAGAACATCAGTATTAAGGTATATGAATTACTCAGGAGACATAGTTAAGAGTAGGGAGAGGATGTATAATCTGTTATAGCTTAAAAATATGTTTCATATTGAAGAATATATTATTGTGTATTTTTTCATCGTTAGGAGAAATGTAATTTACTTTATTATAGAAGTTTCTGTTGACTTTCTATATGTTTTCTTGTTTTAACTTATTATCTTGGTCCTTTTTTTTCTTTTTATGTGCTTAAAAGAAGAGGTCATTGTCCAACAAATAGCCTATAAAAATTGTTTTATTTGAAGTCAGAAATTTCATGGATTGTTAGAAAAGAATAAAGTGTTTATTTATTTATTGCCTTTCAGAACAAAGAGATTTTTTAAAAAGTTGAAAGAAGAACAATTGCCACCTTCTAGCCTGAGATCTTGTATGTCAAGTTTCAGCCCAGAGCAAATTTTTACAACAAGTTATAAACCCCTGTAACAGAGGGTTTATTATAATGGAAGTGCTGACACAACCTTAACTATAGCGTTGTAAACGGCTATGCTATAATATCCATTAAGCAGAAAGAAAAATAAGCTGGCTGATCAATAATTTATACAAAGAGTACCAACTGCAGACATAATAACTGTAATGTTTGCAAAGCAATCTCTCTGCTCTCCAGGCTTAACAGTAAACGCAAACTAGCAACGCTGTTAATTTCCAACTCCTACAGATAAGAATACAAACAAATTACTTAAAATTATATTTTGCTCAACATTTAGCATGCCTCGATGGGATAAAATAAAATTTAATTATGATGCAACTTGTGCAGGATGCAAAGCTGTTTTGTTTTCCAGCACATTTTATTATGAAAGGACATTCATTTGGAACATCAATTATGGGGAAATAGTATGTTTCAAGGAGTTGACTTGGGTCAGGCAGGCTCTTCTAAGAGTTATTCAGACATGGAAACAGATTGACACTGTTTAACTTCAAAGAAAGTTACAAGGTTTTACAGAGCCACAACCTGAAATACAATACTGCATGCTCTGATCCAAGTCAACTGTTGGTAAAAACACACCTTGTCATTAGAGTTCATGGGAAAAAAGACATGGGTTTGGAAAATGTGGCCATCATTAGTATCTAGTGGATCTAGGAGTGCTTATTTAATGTGAGTCTCATTTGCATGGAAGCACTGTGTGTCATCTCTATGTAATAAACATAAACCATAAAATGTGAGCATCATTTTGTTTTCTGGAAAAAAATTTTTAAATATATTTTAATAGCTGTCCATATTTATTAGTGCCCACTTTCCACTTTTTCTAGTTTCTACATATGTGGAGTGTGTTATTTTCATATTTTTATTTTCATTGGTGGCTTTTAAAACAAGAAAAGCATATTTGACAGGAATTCAAGAAGAGAAGAATTGAAGGATCCTAAATTACCCACTATGCGCATAGTGGAAGTTGAACCAGAGTTTACATTTCTTAGGTTCACATCTCCATCAGTCTTTTTGTCTGTACATTTCCTGGTGGTGGGATTAGTGGGGAGTGTGGAACTCAGTAGAACGAAGAGACTTCGCTATCAGAGTTGTAAAATGGTATATTACCCTGTGAGCAATTGCACTTGGAAAGGAACCAGTAATTTATATGAGAAGTGTTTAAGATTGCCTGCTCACCCAGTGATCCATGCCAGGTCAGTTCCAGTAATGCTAGAAAACAAAAGGAGGTGCACATCACTGGGAAAGAGACACCTCATGTGCCTTAAGAGCTTGTGAAGGGAAGCACTAAAATGCTATTTTCTCAAATGAACTGATCATTACCATTTAAAATCCTGAGGGCTGTGGGGCTGGGGAGGTGAGAAAGATTTTTTCTTTTGATTTAACAGGGCTCTGAAGTATTGGTTTTAAGGGGGAGGTGTTTTATTGTGAATGTGTCTTAGCCCTGTGCTTCAGCAAAGGTTAAAACTTGATAAAAAGATACACTTTTAAAACAATGAAATGGAAAAAGACACAATGGTTCTGAGAATGTACCAGGCCCATTTTAATCTTAGAAATTAACTATTTTTAAAATAATCAGTAAATAGTAAAGTAACCCTCTACTACTAATGTTTATGCCAGGTTCTAAATCGTTAGTATTTTGCTTTATTTTCCCAGATCAACCCTGACTCCTCTAGTTTTCAGGAGAAGACTGGGATACTGGCAGAGTGTTATATAAGAAAGTACTTCCTAAGAATTCTTTACAAACCTGTTTATTCTTGCTTAGCATAATCCAAGCACCAGATCTGAGTATACTTTTTCGGGGAGAGATTTTAATACTGTCATCTTCAGGCACATGCTTTTCCCATATGCTTTAAAATCATTTTAATTTTTGAACCAGAGTTCAGTTCATTCACACATCCAGCATATCCTCATAATATATTCTTTCATATTTGGAGAAGAAACTAAATAAAATGACTATTTCTGACTAAGTCAGAATTTATAATTCACTGATTGGCTCAAGATTCTGCACATCCAGGAATCTTTGCTGTTTTATTCCTGTGTGTTGTAATAATTTTCACTCTGCATTCTGATGGGAGAGACAATTATCTTATGTGTTTACACTTGTTGATATGTTTCTCTTCAGGTGGTCTCAAGTCAGTTTTATTCCTTTGGATATCCAGTATACTGCTTAGTGCTTGTGGGGTGCCCAATAAATGTCAGCTGGGTAATTAAAAACTGCTTGTATGTTATGCCATCGATTTCCTTTCCCCCCAAATTATGTAAACTGCTTCTTCTCCAAATGATATATTTTTTGATTCAGACCAAGATATTTGTAAGTAGCAAATTTTAGATATGCTCATTCAATCTGTCTTAATATACAATGAATTTAGGACACTTCTCAGGGCAAAAATTGAGAGATACTAATCAGCTGGGTCTCAAATAGCTGGAGAAAGGAATCTTAGGCCTGTAACTATGGCTTGTATTTGGGACCCATTTAGAAAAGAATTTTTTTTTTTTTAGTCATCAGAGGAGCCATTAGAGTCTTCCTCAAGACTGAAAACAGAAGTGAGAGTGCATCTTGAAGTGCTGCACCAGAGGATGAGGAAAAGATTAGTGTGTGAAATTCTACCTACCCAATGTGAGTAAGCATGGATATGTGCAACAGTTTGTAAAGTTTTTTTGCTGTAACATCACCATCACTTTAGTGTACATAGCAGTCTCTGTTATATAGAGCATACTTACTTTTGTGCACCGACCACATGCTGGTTGCTGAGGAGGCAAAGGAGAAAAGGCATTGATCCTTATCAACCTTCACTGTACATTATTTCTGTTGAGTCTTATTACCATAACATTGTTGAAATTTTGCGTTAGTGGAGCCTGGAAAATCATCTAATCCTAAGTTGCAGATCTCATGCTACCATTTCCCCAGTGACCATGCCAGACATCACAAATTGTTCTCCTGTCTTTCCTTTCAAGATCTGAGGCAATCTCAGAAATACTGTCAGATTAGAAATGTAGGCAGCCTCTCACTGTGAGCCCAACAGATTCATCCCCGTTTATCACTCCTGATCTTGCAAAAAAGAAAATTGACAATTAGCAGTATAGGAGAACGTCCTTTTGTACTCACAGCTAGTTAAGGCTTAAGTCAGGTATTGGTTTAAAATCAAGTCCTCATTGATTTGCTCTCCCAACTACCCTCAAAGGAAACTTTCTGAGGTAAAAGGGGGGGAAATATTTTTATTTCGTTTCATGTGTAAAGGAAATGAAAAAATTATAGAGAGCACCAGTGGATCTAAAGTCACGATTCTCTGTTTCTTTTCCTGTATAACAGATCTCAGTTGGCTCAAATAGTAGAGCTCCTGATGTGTTCTCAGTGGCTACTTAGATGAAAGCACTTACGTGCTATAGTGCAACATAAAGGGGATGAAGGAAACAAACAAACAAAAAACTTGTGAAACTGCTGTTATTTCAGGGACAAGACTTTTGAGATCTTGAGAAATACTTCACTTGTATGTGATGTTAGAATATCAAGCTGCGAAAAGCCTTGTGGTTCTTTGACTTTCGTGACCTGGTTTCCTTTGGTTAGAAAATGGCAGCGTCCACCAGTAAAAGTCACCTGTTGGAATGCGCTGCAAAATCAAACATTGAGCCAGCAGTTGATTCTATAATTTTTATTGTCTCTTACCAACCTCAGTCTGCTTTCCATATGGGACTATCCAGCCTCTTTCTCTGATCTTTTTTCATCCTGATTTCAAGAAAGGTCACTTTCTGCTTGTTTCCCGGATGATTCAGGGATCACTCACAGCCCTTCTTAACAGAGCAATCGCACGCCCTCCTGCTGCCACATTTAAATTGTCTGAACTGCGTGGCTTTTTCATTTACTCTCTCTTTAGAGTGAAGCTGCAAAGTAAGGAAGACTTGAATGGCCTTCCATCTTCAAAGAAGTGCCTTGAGCTCTGGAATGCAACAAAGTGGGAGAAACCACTAAACACCAGGAAATGTCAACAATGAGGGGGGAATGCATGGGCAGGTGGATGGAGCATTTCTAGGCATTTTCTCAACAAGAAAATGGGTCTTTTTCTCGCAGAAACTAATTTAACTGATTTTTGAAACACATTGATAACAGCATTAGCATAAATTTAAATACATGCTTACCAGGCTGTTCTTTGCTATGTTGTTATGCAAGTAACTTGGCTGACAAATTAATAATTGTGATTACTAAATAAGAACTAAATATCCAATAATCTGAACACTTGGTCCTAATAGGAAGCTTCAGGTCTTGACTTATTAAAGCATTAAAAAGGATGTAAGGTCAAACTATTTTCAGTAGCTAAACTACTTATACTTACTTGTAGTGTATTTCAGGCTAAACTTAAAAGAAAGGAGAAATGCTCCCAAATGTTTTATGCCTATAGTAGCAATTGGTAGTGAAATTTGTTCTAAGCACACAATATGAAAAGAGAATAATTAATAATCTATAATTGATGAGCTTCATTGTAAATATAATAGGTATTAGATGGCAAATTCAGCAACTAAAAAATAGTATTTTGTATGCAAATGTAAAGAGACAAACTTATGTCTTGTACGTTTCTTTTAACCTTAACTTTCAGGAATAATCATCATCAGTACCTTGCTAAGTTTTCTTAGGCAAAAAGTCAAAATGTTATTCTAGTAACTCTGACTACTATTTATTGAATTTCCACAAGAAGCCCCCTAATTGGAAATTGTCAAAGGTAAATACGTAAAGTGTTGTTTTTAAACTTGAGATTATGTATGTTAATATTATTAGCTATTATAAAACATAAGACATTCAAAAATCAACTTCAGATTAATCTTCTATGTCAAGTCCTCTAAATGTATATGGCACTTAATTTATAATGAAAAAAATTTTAAAGAACAATTTCTATGAATATGTACCTATATTTTTAGAATATGTCTCTTATTTTAAAAATATAATCACAAAATATCTTTTACTAATTTAGCTACGAAGAAACAGTTTCAAGGAATTGCTTTCTATGCTGCACACATACACACACATACTTGTACACACACATTCTCACACATGCCTATTTTCAGAATTTTCTAAATAGCAATTATTTTGTTAGATTTATAGTCTGTAATGCATGGCATTTTTGGTACCAAAAAATATATACTTTTTGTTTCCATTTAAGTAATTTTAGTCTAAAAGCACTTGCTAATCATAACAACACAGCAAAGGTTTGTTATGTAAACATTTTACTTTATTATCAGCCTTTGTTTTTCAATACAATGCTTTAAAAATATCCTCTGTTGTATAAAGGACATTGTTGCAAAAAGGCAGCTCAAAACTTGTCCTTCCCTTCCTTTCATTGATCTGTTGCCTCTTAGGCAATATGAACAGCTGTCTCCAGCTCACCCACAAGCAAGCTGAACATAATAATAAGGTAGTGTTACTGGCCTGAATCTATGAATGATTATACAAAGAGTGCCAGCTCTTTATCATTAAAGATAAGGTAACAAAGATAGCATAGAGAAGAAAACTGGTTAGCAAAGCAAGCATGTGCTTCTGCCTTTAAGATTTAGTTATTCCTCTGGTAACCACTGAGTTTCTCTTTCAGTTGGGTTTCCAATAAGGTGAAGGTGCCCTCTGTAGGAGACTCCCAGTAAATGCCGCTTTTTTATATTTGGGTGACAACAGGCAAGCTCTGTCCCCCACCTCCAATTTGTAAATAAACAAATAAATAAATAATCACAGAACTCTGTGTGAGCAGAAGCTTGAACTCTATAAATCTTAGAGAGAAATTAGTATAAATCCCACAATGATCTATGTAAATGCGGTTGCTTTTTCAAAATGGGAGAAATGGAACAGTGAGCAAGCTGTACCGCATGTTGGTATTTAATATTTATTGACACTGTGATATGTAATAGGTTAGGCTTTATAAATTGAGAGGTGCGGCAAAAACAGAAACATAGATGGTCTTGGCGTAGTTGAGTGAAAAATGGATCTAAACAGAAAAATCCACATGCAGAGAGACACATTCACCACCTAATAAATACACCTCCCCAAAAGGTCTTCTTATCTTCCCTTCCTATAAAGGTTACCATAATGCAGATTCATTATCAGTCCCACTGGATAGCATATAGCTCAGTAAGAAATTGCTTTTGTTAGCATGCTCATAGAAAGAGATTAGCTATTTCATCAGATCTCTTGGGGCTATTTGAAATTTTGGGAATTCTCTCTGTAATTTAAAATGGAAGTTAAAGCCAGTGTGAATAGACTAGGGAAAATCTCACAAATTAAACCTCTCCATCTGGAAGTTTCTTCATCACTCATTGCAAAAGTACAAGCTGAAATCGCATTTGTTACAGGCAGGAGAGAGGTTTCATCACTGATGATGCATTACAATTATACTAATGTTTTAATAATTAATACTTTGGTTGCAAAGAAAAATTTAAAATGGAAATGATTAACAGTGTTTTGGATTTTTTTGTCTTTATTAACTTTGCATATTACTTAGATTTTATCACTGAAATCATCTATGTACATTATTTAAACTATGACTTTAGCCTCTATGGAATGTGTGTAGGAGAGTCTAGAATCACCCGTATTACAAGTTAGGGGATGAACAAGTGGGCATGAAGGCATAGAGAAGAGGGATTATTTGCATCCTCTTATCTATCCAAATTCATTTATCCTCAGTATCTGCTCAAACAAACATCCCCTTCTTTGTCAATCCATTTTCCTATATCATTGGCCACTTAACCTCAACAACAATATTTTAGATTACTATGTACCAAGCACTGTGTGAGCACTGTCCTAGATAGTTTATGTGGATTATCTCATTTAATCCTCATAATACATAAGAAAGGAAATTTTTCTTATCCCAGTACATGTTCAGTTTATTTGTGCTCTTGTCTTCCTAACACAACTGGCTGGTGAATTCCCAGCCAGCATTGACACAGCTATCTGCCATCCCACTTATGACTGAGCATTGCTAAAGACTCTCCCACAGTTATGCAGAATTGTATCCTTAATTACTTATGACTCTTAGTTGAGAGCTTTAAAATTTAAGCTAGTTTATCTTGAAAGGGGCTGAATAAGCTCACGTCATCACATCAATAGAAGTCAGGGCTCCAGTTGGTCTCAGAGACAACTTTGATCAGAGAGTCAAATGTTTCCTCATATCATCTCTAATTTCTGAAGACATGTTTGTTAGGGTGTCTTCAGTTCGTCAGTTTAGGTTCTACACAACTGGATTCATGGTTTCTAGAAGGAATCATGCACACTGCTTTTAATTTCAGCACCCAAGGACACAAATCCAAGGAAGAACTCTTATTGGGTCACCTTGGAACAGGTGCATATTTCTGGATGAAGAAATTGATCAAGGGCATTATCAGGTAGTGGTTAAGAATGTGTGGAATGCCGCTGGGCATGGTGGCTTACACCTGCAATCCCAACACTTTGGGAGGTGCAGGCGGGTGGATCACAAGATCAGGAGTTCGAGGCTAGCCTGACCAATGTGGTGAAACCCTGTCTCTACTAAAAATACAAAAATCAGCCGGGCATGGTGGTGCACGCCTGTAATCCAGCTACTCAGAAGGTTGAGGCAGGAGAATCACTTGAACCTGGGTGATGGAGGTTGCAGTGAGCCAAGATTGTACCACTGCACTCCACCCTGTGTGACAGAGTGAGACTCTGTCTCAAAAAAAAAAAAAATGTGGAATGTGAAACTGGATTCCTGGAATGTAAAACCTGGTCTATATGTGACTTGGGACAAGTTTTCATCCCAGTGCCTGAATTTTCTTATCTGAATAAATGGAAATAATAATTGTACCTACCTCATTGCATTGCTAGGATGATTAAATGAGTTACTATGCAGAGCTTAGAATAATGACTAGTTCTGAATATATTAGCTATCAGTGATTATTCAGGCCTTAGGATTGGTTCAGCTTGGGGAAGATGCTCACTCAGCTCAATCAGTGTGGCCATTGAGGCAGAGTAATTTAATAGCATTGGAACTCGAATTTGAGGGAGATTCCTAGCATGGGAGACTGAGAAATTTTTCAGAAGAGACTTTTCCAGGGAAGAGTACAATCAGGAAGAATGTGTGATCACATATAAGAATGGAGAGCCATTCAACCATCTTTTTTATGTGTCCTTAATCAGCTCCATTGCCCCATCCTCTCACTGATAACTCCAAAACTTTCTCAAACACTGAGCCCAATTCCTTAAACAAGAGATGGGTATTCTCTATTGACAGTCTTCCTATTGCAAGAGGAAGTTTAGGTTTTCACCATTTCTTGATTGGACTGTTGCTAGGATCTCTGAGCTGACTCCCTTTTCCAGTCTTTCCCTTCACCCATCCACATTATTTCCAGATTTATAGTGGAACTTGAGGGTACCTTTTTCAATATAAATCTTGAATATAGGACATGCAGTCTACATACTAAAATGCTTCAATGGTACCCCTTCACCTCCAGCATGAAGTTCAAATTAGGACTGAGCACGACCTAGAAGACTTTATCTCTTCTGTTTTTGTATTTGGATACTCTCCAGGTCTAATTTTTATTTTGTTATTATTATTTCTGCTCTGTGCCCATTTGTTGACCTGTTTTAGATAGCTAGCTAGCTAGCTGACAGAAAGAAATCAATAACTAGTTCGCTAGGGCTGCAGTAACAAAGTACTACTCACTAGGTACCTTAAGCAACAGAAATTTGTTTTTCAAGTACTGGAGGCTAGAAGTCCAATCTCAAGGTGTCAACAGGTTTGGTTTCTTCCGGAGGCCTCTTTCCTTGGTTTTCAGATGGCTACTTTGCTGCTGTGTCTTCACATGGTCTTTTTTCTGTGCATGCCCCTGGTGTCTCTAATAAGGACATCAGTTAGGTTGGATTAGGGCCCAACCTAAGGACCTTGTTTTAACGTACTTACCTCTTTAAAGGTCCTGTCTCCAAATACAGTCACATTTGGAGGTACTGGGGGTTAGGGATTCAACTTACAAATATTGAGGGAACACAGTTCAGCTCCAAGTATAACTTTTATTTTAGAAAGTCTAAAGTGCTAAATTTGTCACATTAAATCATGCTACTCTTCTAGTGAAAATACTGCAGTTGCTCCTCATTAGACTTTGAACAGCACTTTGGTCTTTTTCTTCATAGCATTATTTACAAGTTTTAATTTTACCTTAGGTTGTTTGCTTTTTTATTGTGTGACTACACTCACTGGTAAGAGTTCCTTTGGACCATTTCTATTTTATTCTTTGTTGTATTCTCTTTCTAGTACAGAGATTGAAATATAGACATTGCTCTGTATTTGTTGAATAAGAAATGACCTACTTCAAGTGGTGTCACTATACTACTTGCTATTTAGTGTGTCTGGGGTTTGGTTCTGACCACATCCTCCAATATTTATTTGTTTACATAATACTTTTTTTACCGTTTAGGACATCCCTCCAAGAAAGTAATACATATGTACCATGGAATACTATGCAGCCATAAAAAAGAATGAGATTATGTCCTTTGCAGGGACATGGATGGAGCTGGAGGCCATTTTCCTTAGCAAACTAACACAGGAACAAATACTGCATGTTCCCACTTATCAGGTGGAACTAAATGATGAAAATACATGAAAACATTGTGGGGAACATCACACACTGGGGCCTACTGGAGGGTGGAGGATGGGAGTGGGGAGAGGATCAGGAAAAATAACTAATGGGCGTTAGGCTTAATACTTGGGTGATGAAATAATCTGTGCGACAAAGCCCCATAATACAAGTTTCCCTATTGTACATGTACCTGTGAACTTAAAAGTTAAAAAAGGAATCTCCAAACCAATGAAAGACATAACCATCCCACTTCTATGGGATGGTCTAATAGATACTTACCTCTATTTTTTATTTATCATATATGGTATTGGTTTTCATTAATTACAGGGAACAGGTATCAATCATCTTTTCATTTACAGGGTTTAGCATATTGCCTAATGTATGACAATTCTTAAGTTGAACTTTGCTTTTTAAGAAACAGTTAGCTCACGCCTGTAATCCCAGTACTTTGGGAGGCCGAGGCGGGTGGATCACGAGGTCAAGAGTTCGAGACCATCCTGGTCAACATGGTGAAACCCCATCTCTACTAAAAATACAAAAAATTAACTGGGCACGGTGGTGCATGCTGGGAGGCTGAGGCAGGAGAATTGCCTCCCAGCTACTCAGGAGGCTGAGGCAGGAGAATTGCCTGAACCCAGGAGGCGGAGGTTGCGGTGAGCCGAGATCGCGCCATTGCACTCCAGCCTGGGTAACAAGAGCGAAACTCTGTCTCAAAAAAAAAAAAAAAAACCAGTTAAACTCCACCTGAATGACCAGATAAATTTTAAATGAATAAAATATCAAAATATAAATGATTTAAATAATTATATTCTACCTCTTCTTTTAAGAACTTTCCTGATTATCTGTCTAAACAGTTCTTTTTTATCATTTATTTTATCTACTGTGTAGCTATGGGTAATCCATTGTCTTGTAACGTCTATTAAAAGTATTGCCTTGAACTACTATTTCCATATCTAGTCATTTACATTTTGAATGAGTTTGTATCTCATTTTTTTAAATCTCATCAGCTAGAGAGTAGGGGATTTTGCCTTATATAATTACAGAAAAAGGCATATATGCATATAATAAGCATTTCTTCATTGGATTCAATTTGGATAAATCTGAAGCATGTGTAAATTCAGACATTTCAAATATCTAGGCTACTATATCAGTTAGTGCTTTCTGCATGAACATACAATCGAGAACTTAGTGGCTTAAAAAAATCACATTTGATATAGCTGATTCTTTTGTGGAAGGTCAGGGATGATTCTTCTCATCTGGATCAGCTCAGCTAGTTTGTGTTTTCTGTGATTGCTTCATGATTTGTCTGGTCATTAGCAGATTGCCATGATAACTGGGCTAGGTTTTCACCAGGCAGTTGTGTTGGTTGTGAATCTTGCATGTGTGGACATATGCCGCACATTCTCTAGGTGCTGTGGACTGAGTTGTGGCCCCTCCCCCAAATTCTTATGCTGAAACATTAACCTTCAATGTGACTGTATTGAGAAATAGGGCTTTTAGGAGGGAAAGTTAAATGTGATCATAAAGATAGGGTCCTAATCCAATACAATTGGTAGATTTATAACAAGAGGAAGAGATTCTCTCTTTCTGTCTCTGTTTCTCTCTCTCTCTCTCTCTCTCTCTCTCTCTATTTCTCTCTGTCTCTGTCTCTCTTGCATGCACCAAGGGAGGCCATGTGAGAATTCAGTGAGACAACCATCTGCAGTCAGGAAGAGAGCCCTCATTAGAAACCCAGTTGGCAGTCACCTTGGTCTTGGACTTTCCTTCCTTCAGAACTGTGAGAAATCAATTTCTGTTAAGTTGCTGATATTTTGTTAGGGCAGGCAGAGCAGACTAAGACACCAGGGTATATACCTAACACTGGACTTGATAATGAGGTCTGCACATTTTCAAACTTCTTAGATAGAGTCAAGTGGTTTCTAAATTGTTTCAAAAGTTGTTACACATTGTTTCTAACTTCTGATATTATAAAACTTTTGAAATTTTGCAGACAGGGGAATATGAAATGGAAGCCAACTGAAACTTTAATTTATATTACCTTATTACGAAGATTGATATATATATTTTTTCCTATGCTGTTTGGCTATTTGAATTTTCCTCTTCAGTCAAGTGTCTGCTCTTTTGTTCATGATAAATTAAGTTACCATTTATGTTTTCTTTTTGATGTACAGAATTTATGTATTCTGAATATGTTAAAAATATATTCCATCAGTGTGTGGTCTGTATTTTCACATTATTTATGATAGTTTTTGATGAGCAAAAGTTCTTTATTTAATATAGTCAAATTCCAATTTTTCCTGAATAGATTTCTCTGTTTGAGGCTTGCATAATAAATTTTCATATCCTAAGAACATAACCTCATTCTCCAGATAATTTTTTTTAATTTTGCTTTTTTTTCTTTATATGTTTAACTCTTTAATACTCTGGGAATTGCGAGGTTTAACAGCAGAGATGGAGGGGTAGAGGGAGGAAGGAAAAGGGTGTTTGTTGCTGCTGGCATCTAGTGGGTACAGGGCAAGGATGCTGCTAAGCATCTTACAGTGCACAGGACAATCCCACATAATGAAGAATTATCCACATCAAAACATCATGAAGCTGAGGAATCCTTGGAGTAGTCGTTTGTGTAGTACAGCCGTAATCAGTATTCTTACATTCTTTATGTGTGCTTAAAAAGAAAGCATATCCAACAATTGCAAGTATGATTGGTTTCTGTATTCTACGTGCTTCTTTTAGTTAACCTTATTAATTTTGTGGTTCAAAGATTTCATAATCTAACTGATTTTTTTGACTACATGATTTATCATTATGGAGAGAGCTGTGCTAAAATCTCTGTGTGTGTGGATTAGTCTAGCCCCTCATAGTTCTGTCAACTCTTGCTTTAAATAATTTGAAGCTCTATTTTGAGGTAATACAAGGGGAGACTGCATATGTCTTTCTGGTGAATTGAACTGTTTATCATTTTAAGTGGCTACTGTTTTCTGTAATACGTTTTTAATTGATTTTGTCTAATACATCTTTATAAACACAGTTGACATTTTATATTTTAATATTAATTTGTTATAACCTTATTATATGTTTATGTTTTCAATGTACTTACATTTTAGAATATCTTTTGTAAGCAACATGGAACTCTATTTTGTTTTAATTAATTAATTAATTGATTTAGAGACAGGATCTCACTCTGTTGCCCAGACTGGAATGCAGTGGAGCAATCATGGCTCACTGCAGCCTTGACTTTCCAGGCTCAGGTGATCTTCCCACCTCAGTCCCCGCAAGTAGCTGGGACAACAGGGCATACCATTATGACCAGCTAATTTCTTTGTATTTTTTTTAGAATGGGATTTCACCATGTTTTCTAGTCTGGTCCCAGACTGTTGGGCTCAAGTGATCAACCCTCCTTGTCCTCCCAAAGTGTTGGGATTATGAGTGTGAACCACCGCATCTGGCCTTCCTTTTATTTAAAGCCCAGTTGCATAGTCTTTGTGATTTAAATGGGTCACATAGTCCATTTACATGTATTGAAATCATGAATATTTTTGTATTTACATCTATTATCTTATTTTGTGGTTTTATTGGTACCACCCTTTATGTTTTGTAGTTTCTTCCCTTGCCTTTTAATATTGACTCATGACTCACCTGAATCATCCACCACTGTGATGGCCACCAGATGGTGTTCACCTGTTTCTGTTTTTCTTTCTACATTTACAAGTTGTTATTTTATTGTAAGAAGAAGTTTTTTCTTCTATTGAAATCAATACTTTGTTTATTTAAAGTATTGTATTACCTTTATTATTCTTTTTTTTCCTGTTGATATTGGCCCAAATTTGTTGTTCAGTTGGAGTCTGTTCCATCTGGCTCCTGCCATTTTGGCATACCCAGGTCATTCTTAGGGAGTTTCTTAGTTTCTGGCTCAGAGTCCAGGTTCCTTTTGTGCTTCTCATGCCATGGTCTTGGAATCAGCCATTTCTCCAAAGAACCTGGTTCTTTTTTTTGAAAGATTATCAGAACCAATATCAGGACCAAGAGTCAAACACATTAGTAGAATTTAAGAATATATTCAACAAAATAGAGTTACAAAAAATGTATTAGAGAAAGTGAAAATCACTTAAAAATCATCTAGTGAAAATACTTTTCACTAGAAAAGACTTAAGAAACCAAGATTAGGTATGCTCATTGCTACATGTACTTCATAGCTTCTAGGTCCTGTTAGTAAACAATGTAGGAAATAAATGGATGTATGTACATATTTCTAGATAAGTAAATCGAAAAAACATTTGTGTGTGTCACATGTTTGTATCTATTATATATCCATTATTTCGGTCTACATCTATTATCTATCTATCTATCCTGTGAATTTATACAATATTTTCACTTCCAATCCAATAATATTGTCATGTTCATTGTACTTAATTTCCCCAATATCTGTGCTCCTGACAGTGAGAAACTTAACTTTCATTATCCTCAATATATGTAATTATTTGTCTAATCTCCTTGTACGTAACCAATATCCCAAACTTGCTGGTTATCTGTTTGAACTTGGCCATTTTGCTGTCTCCTTAGCCTATGATCTTGCCGTGGCCCCTTTGGTTGGTTGACTGCCTAAGCAACCCAGCCCTTTCCCCACCTTCTAAACCTCACTACATTCTCTATCCTCAGCTCTATCAGTCTCTGATACTTTCTTAACTCCACTACTTCTTCTCAGCCCTGCTCTTGTTCCACAAAATGGGAAGGAAAAAGAAAGAGGAAAAGGACAGCAGTGTCCTCAAATTGGGAGCTAAAGTTTATCTGAATATTTATTTATTTATTTTGAGTCAGGGTTTCACTCTGTTGCCCAGGCTGGACTGCAGTGGCACAATCTCTGCTCACTGCAACCTCCACGTCCTGGGTTCAAGCAATTCTCATGCCTCGGCCTCTTAAGTAGCTGGGATTACAGGTGTGTGCCAGCATGACTGGCTAATTTTTGTATTTTTAGTAGAGACAGGGTTTCAGCATGTTGGCCAGACAGGTCTTAAATGCCTGACCTCAAGTGATCCACCAGCCTCAGCCTCCCAAAGTGCTGGGATTATAGAAGTGAGCCACCATGCTCAGCCCCTATCTGAACATTTAAAGGCCCCCCCTCCCCAAGTGAAGGCAGGTTTTAGTACTCTGCTTCTATCTCAAACATCCCTTTTCATTTAGTTAATGGTCTCATAGCATCTTAGTTTCTCACTGACTGGTGTGGATCCATTTAAGGAGATTAAAAATTTATTTTAACCAGAATTTTTAGTTGTTCTCAAAGGGTTGACCTGGGTACTTTTCTACCTACTGTCAGAGACAGAAGCTATGGTAAACATTGACATGTAACTTCTGAAGTTTGAACATTTTAAACAAATCAATGAATTTTGAAATTAGTCTTAGGTCCTAGTTCCTTGAAATAGGGAAAGGAGATTCTATGAAGCTTAAGTGACTTTTCCAAGGGTACATACTCACAAATTTGAAATTAGAATCCAAGTTTTTGCATGTCTCTTGACTTTCAAATTCAAGTTCTTTCTATTTTAACTGCGGAAATAACCAGAGTGTTATGATTGCTGGAAGAAGGAGAATAAGAATAGAAAGTTATTCAAGATTTTCCACTTTAAATTACCAGAGTCACTTTCTTTGATTTGCATATTATTTTTCCTTATTCCACTTTATTAGAAGAAAGTGTTTCTATGCCTGAAGTAGAGCTTAAACGCACCACTTAACTAGACGTGATATTTCTTTGTAAATACCAATTCTGCCCTTTCAGGCATTTATTTCTTTCTTTCTTTCTTTCTTTCTTTCTTTCTTTCTTTCTTTCTTTCTTTCTTTCTTTCTTTCTTTCTTTCTTTCGTCTTCTTTCCTTCCTTCCTTCCTTCCTTCCTTCCTTCCTTCCTTTCTTTCTCTTTCTTTCTTTCTTCTTTCTTTCTTTCTTTCCTTCTTCCTTCCTTCCTTCCTTCCTTCCTTCCTTCCTTCCTTCCTTCCTTCCTTCCTTCCTTTCTCTCTCTCTCTCTCTCTTTCTTTCTTTCTTTCTTTCTTTTTCTTTTCTTCTGTATTTTTAGTAGAGACAGCATTTTGCCTTGCTGGCCAGGCTGGTCTTGAACTTCTGACCTAAGGTGATTCCTGTGTCTTGGCTCCCAAAGTGCTGGAGGGATGAGCCACTCTGCCTGGCCAGGGATTTTACTTTTCTATCATATGACAACAAGAAAATAGATGTGAGTCACTTTTCATGTTCTGTATGCCATCCTTGATCCAAATATTATCACCATGCTCTAAGACTTCTAAATTAGGCAATTAAAAGGTTGCATAGTCAAGCTTTATACGTAGTAAAGTAATAGATATCTAGGTGAAATATCCCACCTGAGAATGGCCACATGTATTTATCAATGTGATTTTTTAAAATAATTTTGAAATATTTCCTCGTTTTATTCACAGGATGTGATAATGACTCATACTTCAGTGGATCGGCATGCATCCTGTCTCCTTTCTCACCTCCCAGAATTACCTCAGTATCATAGCCTAAGTGCTTTGGAGAAAGCGGACTTCTCCCAGCAATAGGTCTTAAGTTGCTTTCAGCTTGTAAGCACATTCTAGCACATTCTTTCAGTCCTCTGCTCATTGTCATTTGTCCAGGGGTGGGTGTGGACTTTAGCGGTACCAAAATAATCTCACATTCCCATTTGGAATGCTGAGACAGAAGTACAGGCTCTCACTTTCTCTGTAGTTGGCAGAGAGGGAATGTGGTCTCGATCGCTTCTGGCAAACATTCTGTAGTCATGCTGGAAAGGGGACTTGAAATAAAGCAAAGATTCCAGAAAGCAGAACAAACCAAAAGAAATGGTGACCACTAAATCTGGCAGTAGTGAAGCCTGCCCTGTCTTTGGACATCCAGTTATTAGGGCTAAGAAAGTCTGGTTTATTCTGTTGTCTGTGCCATTTGACTTTGCGTTCTTGATCTTCATAACACAGAAAAGTTCTAACTCACAGTGACATTAAAGAACAGAGCAGAATGGAATAAAACCAACAAGCAGAGTGTATACTTCATAAGAAAAAATTGACCAAGACTAAAGATAAGACTAGAGCAAGGGTATCCATGCTTAGCAAAAGTTGGTCATGTGATAGGAAATTCTTCTGAAAATAAGCTTTATGTTTTTTTTCTTTGGTCAAAAATGGGCAATGATTAAAAATGCCTTATTAACTTTTCAAAAAATGTGCATTAAAAGAGCAACATAATAGCAGATCCAAAGCAGTTTATGCAAAGTTACCTTAATAAGACTTCACAATTAGGAGTCTCGTATGGTTCTTTTATATACTCTGGTTATATAGCTAGTACTGCACTTAGAAGCTTAAAGCTTTCTTGTTTATTTTAAGATAAATATGTTGCATTAGGGCACAATTATTTTGATTCCATACTGAAAGTGTCTGTGGGTAATTTTATGGAAGACAAAGAACTTCCAGAAACAAAATGAAGCTAAGCTGGGTCCAGAGTTTATCCCTAAGGCAAGAAATATTAGGACAGTTCTTTTATTTAAAAAAAATCTTGACATGAGTAAAGCAGCAGAAAGGACATTGTATGATTAAACTTGTATGAGGTACTTAGAATAGGACAATTCATGCAGTTAGAGAGTGGAACTGAGGTTACAGGGGACTAGGAGGCAGGAAGGTTCAGGGAGTTATGTTTAATGGGTTCAGTATTTCCCTTTGGGAGGATAAGAAAGTTCTGGAAATGGATAGTAGCAATGGTTGCACAATATTGTAAATGTGATTAATGCCACTGAATTATATGCTGAAATTTGGTGAAATGGTAAACTTTTTGATATTTATACCACACTAAAAAAATCCTTGACTAGCACAAAATTTGATGCATACATTTAATTAGAAATGTTTTCATTTTTATAAAATTGTTAGTTTTTATGTGGAAAACAAATAATAACAGTAACAAAAGCAGCCAAGTATAGCTCTTCAGAGTTTCCATGGCCTCCCCATCTGCTTGCATTAAAGCAAACCAGACCTCCAGCATATCCAGTAAACTGGTTATGTTTAAAGGCACAAGTCTGAAGAAAATTCATAATCTTGATCACTTTCCCAAGATATCATGCAATAAACCTTACTTCCAGAGTTCAGAGTACCAATTCTCCTGATGCAATGGGAACTGAGCTCACTTTCTCTTTTTGATTTAAATCAACTATTGAGATCTATTTTATTTCTTTTATTATGGGGCACCTTATCTGTGACAAATGATTTCAGTTTTCTTGAACTCCTGACCTCAGGTGATCCACCCACCTTGGCCTCCCAAAGTGCTAGGATTATAGGTGTGAGCCACCAAGCCCGGCCCTATGATTTCAGTTTTCTACATTTAGATGTAACCTCTCAACTTTAGTAACAGCAAGTGATTATGTCCTACTAGTTCAAATATGTTAATTAACTTGGACTCACTATTACTTGTTTTTCTAAAACTTCCTGTTTTCTTATATTTGATATGTAGTACACAAATGAGACACAAATGGATGAGAATAATTTTCTATTTCCCATCACTCAGATTCACGTAAAACAAAGGTAAAGTCAGATACTTACTTATAATTATTTTTCATATAGAACTGTACTAATTCTTCATCCCTCCGTATAAATTCTTACATAATAGATATTCATGAGAAAGGAACACTTATGATAAATGGACGGTTCAAGAGGCCCAAAAGATTTAAAAATATAATATTTTATTCAACCATTGAGAATGTTCTTAATTTGAAATATTTATATGATGTGTTTCTTTATATTTCTTTATGTTCCCCTTACTCTTCATTTCTGGATTTTTCGAAATCTAGAAAAACATAAAAGTAAGTTTTTGACTAGTTTTGGTTAGTCCATGCCATTTTACTGGAGTTAAGAATCTTCCACTGAAATGCTTTCTTGAAGCCCTATTTCACAACCGCAGCTTACCAACATAGTATTCCATTAGGTGTGATTATTTTTTCTCCATCCATGCCATTCAGTCTTCATTAAAATCTGGATACAATAGAGAAAATTTACGGGGGAGACAGGACACTATGGCCTTTAAACCACCTTTCTCAATATTGTCCCCACCAAGCGACAAGGATTTTGCTTCTTCCAAGTATAGCACATTCTAGCAGTCTGTGGATTTCAGCACTAAACATCTTCTAGAAATTTGAGGAGAAACAGCCCTATTTAGTACCATTTATCTTTACCAGTTATCTACTAAAT